CTGATTTTTTGATTTATTGTAGAGATGAGATCTCGCTGCCCAGGCAGGTCTCGAACCCGCAGGCTCAGGCAATCCACTCACCTCAGCCTCCCAAAGGCGCGGGATTACAGGCTGAGCCACCGAGCCCGGCTTTTTACACACATTTTAAGAGATGTTATCTATGTATTACTTTTCGAAGTTGAATTGAATTACAGCAGCAATGTGCAGTATGGTGTTCACTCAAAAGATGGCATTAATCAAATCACTTGTGACATGTATTCATCTTTTGTAATTGGTATATAATGTTCAGGCATTCTTTCATTCAACATTGTTTTGTGAAATCCATCCATATTGTTGTATTTGTAGTTTGCTCATCTTCATTGCTATATTATTGTATCCAGCTGCACGAATACCATAATCTGTCAGCAAACAGAGAATGTCAGCAAACAGAAAGGAAGCTAAAAGTTTCAAAGTAGGGACAGCTTGTGGTGCTGAATCACACTAGGTCAGGTGAGGCCCTAACCCCTGACACTGACTTAACTGATGGCTGTTCATGCTTTTCAGCCCGATGAAGTTGCTTATTCTTCCCTGGACTTCAAAGCTCAGCAACAAACACAACCAACTTCAGCCACCCCATCCTCGAAAGTTACAGAAACAATTTATTCAGAAGTAAAAAAGAATTAATGCAACCTGTCCTGCTCACTGCTCTGCTGACGTATTCCAAGTCTCACCCTCATCACTAGAAGACAAAAAAGACCCTCAGGAAAAAAGGAAAGAAGTCTTCCCTACACTTTCTTCCCTAATGGGCACCCCTAGACTGCCAGGTCACAGCCCTTCCCTCAGTGTAAATACAAGAAAAGGTACATCTGGGTGTCTGAGGGAAATCCAGTCTTCTTGTCATTGAAATTTGGCAAAGCCAACTTTGGGAAAGAATTGCCAGACCCTTTCTACCCCTCCCCCTTTCCCAACCTATATTTGTTGTAAACTTACCAATTCAGAGTATATGCACTCCTTCTCACCTCAGTCCTGTCCTGTCAGAATCTAACTTGAATTTGCCATAAGCTTGAAGTTAATGTCCTTTTGGAAGTACATGTGCCAGAGAGAAAGAAGAAGAGAAAGTAAAAAGCAGTAATGACTTCTCGTACCTCTCCAAAACTTGGTTTGAACCCACCATACACAGGAAAATCAAATACATAACCAATAGGGAAATTTCACACCTTTGTTCACTGTCAAGGTTGTCTACCTGTAGTATCAAAGCCTAAGCACCTTGCTGCTTAGCTAGAATACCTCCTAAGCCCTTTGGCAAGCCTATCTCCAGAGAAACCACCAGATGTAACTAGGAAAACTATTTGAGAAGGCCTATAGGCAACTCCTAACAGAAAATGCAAAAGTCTACCGGGCATGGTGGCTCATGCCTGTAATCCCAGCACCTTGGGAGGCAAAGGCAAGAGGATTGCGGCCCAGGGGTTCAAGACCAGCCTAGGTAACTACAGTAAATAAATCAAGAAAATTAGCTGGGTGTGGTGGTGCACGCCTGTAGTTCCAGCTACTTGGAAGGCAAACGCAGAAAGATCACCTAAGCCCAGCAGGTTGAGGCTACAGTAGCTGTGAGTGTACAACTGCACTCCAGACTGAGACTCCAACTCAAAAAAAGAAAATGCAAAAGTGCACATAGGTTTAATATCTTCATGGGCTGTATGCAAGAAAATGCCAAGAGAGAAAGGAGTTACAGTTTTAGGAATGAACCAGTTTTTAGCAGACAAAAATCTGCTAGGAACTTGGGGAAGGAATCAGAAAGCTACTCTTCAACAATTTTTTTTTTTTGAGTTGGAGTCTCACTCTGTCGCCCAGACTGGAGTGCAGTGGCCGCTCCCGGCCACCACAGCCTCGCCTGCTGGGCTCCAGCGATTCTTCCGCCTCAGCCTTCTGAGTAGCTGGAATTACAGGCATGCGCTACCATGCCCGGCTGATTTTTTGATTTATTGTAGAGATGAGGTCTCGCTGCCCAGGCGGGTCTCGAACCCGCGGGCTCAGGCAATCCACTCACCTCAGCCTCCCAAAGGCGCAGGATTACAGGCTGAGCCACCGAGCCCGGCTAATTTTTTAAATTATTAAAGAATGCACCAATTTGCCAGGCACGGTGGCTCATGCCTATAGTCCCAACTACTTGGGGACTGAAGCGGAAGGATCACCTGAGTCCAGCAGGTTGAGGATGCGGTGGCTGTGAGCCTGCCACTGAACTCCATCCTGGGCAACAGAGTGAGACTCCAACTCAAAAAAAAAAAATTTCTCTGAGACATTCCTCCATTTTAATTTTTGTAACTGCTTATTTGTATGAAATATTTTTACTTAGCTTAGCCATGTAAGCCAATCAGACTGCCTTAGATGAAAGTCACCTCCGGTCCCTCGGTCAGGAGCCTCTCGAGGCTTTTTGGTCAGGGGCCCCAAACAGAAAATAAGAAGGGGCATCCTCATTCATGGCTAGAAACTGATTTAACTCAGTTTCTAAGCACCTTACACTAATCATCAACTGCCATTCTACTCCATGTTTCCACCTGTGCATTTTCTGTCTACCCCACTCACTTTCTCAGGAAACCTTGGTCTCTGCTGAGGTGTGTTTGAGAAGTGGGAGAGCCCTACAGGGACACTACTGCTCATGCTGGTGGCATTGTTTACAACTAGAAAGCTGCACTAGTGATAATGCCCCTTGGGAAACAGGGCTACAAGAGAGTGTTAGGACATGAAAGGGGACTTTAACTCGATCCTAGGCTTTTTGAAAAGCCTCTGAAATTTATCTTTTCTGAAAACCATGGAGTTTTCAGAGTGTCTTAGAATAAAAAGGAAGGACAGGAGGAAGAAAGGCAAATGTACTTCTCACCCAGCCTTGTTCTACACAGACGGAATCTCTTTGGGGCTGTTAAGAGAAAGGTTTTATTTGATATTACCTCCTTGATCTCGTGCTATGCCTAAGAGACCTTCCCCAAGAGAATTAGTTGGGAGTTCGCTACACTCAGGTACCTCTTTCAGGGTTTTCTAACCCTGACACAGAATGTGCATACTTTCCTTCATCCATGCTATGCTGTGTTATTTAATTTTGCCTGGCTAAAGTCACTTCTGAATTATTTGTAAAATATGTTCTATATTTATAATAAAGATAATATATCAGATATCAACATGCTGCCCCGTTGTCAATACTATTTTAGACAATGTTTTCTCAACAGGCAGAAGAAAGAAACTGTTCGATGGGGACTCAGAGTAAAACTGTTTTTAAGTCTACAGATAGTAGATCTAGTGATCAGAGAGTTATCACACCTGCTAACGAAGTGAATATACCTGGGAGCGATAGACCACAACTCCAACCCGCCTAGTAGGAGTTGCCTATCTTCCTCTGGAAAAGAGATGATCACATGAGTAAAAGATCTCTCTGCCTCTCCATTAGGGACCAACAACACATCCCACACAAGTGGCTTCAGTGAATCTGACATAGCAATACAAAGGTCTTCACCTGTTCCCAGTTCCCTTGTTCTGCCCTCTCAGGGGATCAGAACTCTTCTCAACCGAATATCCTCTATTTATTAATTCCACTAAATATTAACCTACTATCTCATTTCCTTCACTTCCAAGCAATGGAAATCCATGTGCTGTTTTTCCCTTTCCTCATCACCTAATTTCTCCTGGCCTTCTGCAGTAATGCCTCCATACCCAAGGCCACCGGAAGTAGCACAAAATCAATATCCGTCTCTTGGCCAGATTCAAAGACATTTTCACTGTCCTCACATGTTTCACTTTCACATCATCTAAAACCATAGACAGTTTTTTTCCTTCAGGGGGGTTCTTCTCCCTCCGTCTCCCACTTATGTATTGCAACCCTACACCAGATTTAGTACTCAGATCCTTTGTCTCCTTCCACCCACCGTTTTTCCTCAGCTCCAATGACCTCCCTACAGATAGCTCCCACATTTACATTGCCCCCGCTACTTCCCAGAATTCATGATAACCACATCCAAATACTGTATGAAATTATTTACTTAAACCAGCTATCCCCCACAGTTTACTCATTTCCCCTATGACATCACCAAAGTTTCCCCAGCCCCAGCTCATTTGTTTCCCAGATTCAATATATTATCAGAACCTCTTGACCCTTTTTTAACATCTCTCACTTGGGTCATTCTTTCCATTCCCATAAATCTAACTAACCCAGACCCTCAACAACTGCTCAAAGGACTGTTTTAGGGCTGGGTGCAGTGGCTCACACCTGTAATCCCAGCAATTTGGGAGGCAGAGGCAAGAGGATTGTCTGAGCCCAGGGGTTCAAGATCAGCCTGGGCAACTTGACGAGCCCTCGTCTCTACAATAAATCACAAAATTAGCTGGATGTGATGGTGCATGCCTATAGTTCCAGCTACTTGGAAGGCTGAGGTGGAAGGAGCCCAGCAGGTTGAGACTGCAGTAGCCGTGAGTGTGCCACTGCACTCCAGCCTGAGTGACAGAGTGAGACTCTGACTCAAAAAAAAGGACTGGACTGCTTGACTTCTCTGAAACCTTCCTTGCATACTTCTGCTTCCTAAAAACTAGTTCACTGTACCACTCAAGAATCTACAGTGGGCCAGGCTCGGTCGCTCAGCCTGTAATCCCAGCACTTTGGGAGGCTGAGGCGAGTGGATTGCCTGAGCCCGTGGGTTCGCGACCCGCCTGGGCAACTTGGCGAGACCTCATCTCTACAATAATCAAAAACTAGCTGGCCGTGGTAGCGCGTGCCTGTAGTTCCAGCTACCTGGAAGGCTGAGGCGGAAGGATCGCCAGAGCCCAGCAGGTTGAGGCTGCGGTGGCCAGGAGCGTGCCGCTGTACTCCAGTCTGGGTGACTGAGTGAAACTCCAACTCAAAAAAAAAAAAAATCTACAGTGGCCTACTCTAGCCTATTAGATAAGTTCCATTTTTTCTTTACCAATCCTTCTTATTTCCTTTACCACTATACCCTGGTATATATAATTCCTCCATTTTAATTAGATCTGTCTCCCTATTCATACCTACCCCTGCACCCCATACATAATAAAGTTCTTAGTTCCAATACTATGCTTAAAAACACACCAAACAGGGTGATCAATCTTCCCTCCACTATCTGCACTGCAGATACCCATACCCTTCATCATAAGCAACCTCTGACCTCATGGAGGACAAAGTCTAGCATAAACTTGTGAATCTAAGACTCAGGACACAACCTACTTGTGGTTGAGAATCTTTTCCTGCTAACCAATTCACATGTTCGTGAAAAATACAGAAGTGAGGGAGGCAAGGTCCCTACCCCAGGGTACATAAAGTCTAAGACAGGAGATAAGACATGAAAAACAATTACAGATACCAAAATAGAAAGGGATATATACCACAAGAAGTCAGAGAAATTTAATGAAAATATGGCTACACATTAGAATCACTGGAAAACTTTTTAAAAGAACTAAGGCTCAGTCATCCACAAACTCCTATTTCATTGGTCTGGAGTGGGTTCCAGGCATTGGTGGTTTTTAAGCCTTCCCAGATGCTACTAACATGTAGCCAAGATGGAGAACTCCTGCTCTAATAGGTAAGACTTGGGCCTAAATCAGCAGCTTTTAACTAGCGGTGTCCATCAGAATTACACAGGGAAATTTTTCAAGCATATATATATACCTTCCTTGAAGAAGCTGAAACAGTATGTCCAGGGTGAGACTTGGGCTTGTATATTTTGAAAAACTTTCAGGCTATTCTCACATATATTCCATGTTAGGAATCAGGATATGAAGCATGGGAAATGAGGAAAAACAGTTGGAAGAACATTCTACTTGATGGGTATTAGATGAATAATCTATTC